CATGTATGCCACCGCCTCAGGCCCCAGAGACATGTACTTTCTGAAGACCATTGGATACAACATTCTCTTCCTCCCCCCAAAAAAAAGACTTCGTCCTAGAGAAAGGTTCCTTGGAAAGGTACCCGAGTCTCAAGGGGAAAAAAATACGCATCCACGACTGACACGCCATCAACACTCTGGTATAAAAAAAAATGCCCTCCTCACATGTCTACAACAGAGTTCGGATCAAACCAAACATTGGAGACGTGGACGGAACATTCGGGCACTTCGACCTTCACAAATTCTTACCACCCACACTGTGTAGCTGGTGGTCAGAACTTCGAACTACTCTTCATGGCTTTGAAAAAAAATCGCATACATAGCAAACGGCACGGTAAGTTTTTGGCTTTGACCTCCCTGTAGCTTGCGAAGTCTTCGTGAACCACCCAGGTTGTGTGGTGTACGCAAGAAGACCATATCCACGTCTGTGAGAGACCAACGCCCTGAAAACTCGGCCACATCACAGCCGCTACAACATGCTTCCACACGGCACCGATACCCGATCTTGTGCAGCGTGATCAACCTTCGAGATGAAAAATCGACAGCTTTGCACCTTCCGCTAGAATTGGAAATTCTTCATATCGAACCTGCCCGGTGATTCCAGCTATCACCGCCATACCTGGTTCCACAGCAACATTTTCTTTTCTGGAACCGGGGTTTCGCCAGCGGAACAACCCCTCGCAATATCGAGTGGATGGGGTCCAAGACGGCCGAAATTCATCTACAGCATCGAATCCCGGTGCTATCACCTGGGAAGTCAAGCCACGGGTCGCCGCAAAGTTCCCAACAAATGCCGCCAGGCGCCGTACCACAACATAGGCTGGCCGCTGGCAATCTCTCGAGTGGCCATTCTCACCTCCGCCGCCGATGCTAGAGTGGTGCGATAACAGTCGACCGTCCGCTGCACCTTTCTTTATCGAGCTTCTCCGGCTCGTGAGAGTTTTGTTCGAACCCCACCGTCACATGTTGTAATCTTACACGTACAACCATAAGTTCTAGTATGACACTGCTTAGTCTGAAAGTCCCGATATGTAGGTTATTCTGCAATGTAACTGACACCCACCAGACTTTTCTCCGAAACGTAATGCAACGATGCACACATCCAACTTTGACAGACTTCAAACAGTAGCTCCAGGCATGTGATGCGAAGAAACGCTCCGCTTGTCTTGCATCGTCGGTCTGCGAAGGGCTGACACATTGTCCTGCAGTTTCAGACATGGATTCGGCCACTACCATGTCAGCATGATGATGGAATCCAAGTCGTGTCCAGAAAAGCACAATGGCGTCCGTTGGCTGACCCAATTCCTCTTTCAATAGCCCAAGAGTGAGGCTCGTATCGGCAGTGCGCGTTACACAACGTCAATAGTCTATTGACTTCAGCCAAGTTTGGGGGTTATCTGTGACTCTCGCAGTGCCGGGGACTCAGAAAGCAACACAATTCACCAAGATCGCTGATCGGACGCACAGGGAGTAACACGAGCTCGCCCAACGTGCCGTGGCAATCTACAAGAACAGCAAGATCAACATTGGCCCAAGACCTGTTGGTTGAGAACGCCTCGTGAGTGACCGATCCACTGATCGACCAGCGTTGTCGCCAGAAAAGTATTTCCCCAATGTATCCAGCAAAAGAAGCCTAGTGTCATGTACGGCTTGCGTGGATTGGGCTGACTTTGGCATTCCGTCTGAATTGGCCTGGTCATCATCACAATGCGGGTAAGATTGGCAATCAAGGCCAATGCCGTCAGACACCTACCGTGTATAGGTCTGCTAGTAGGCCGGGACGGCAAAGGAGGTCGTGTACTGTGAATGAAGAGCTGGCCGAAGGTTTTTTCTGCATTGGCACACCCTGGATCCTGATTAACTGACGACTTCTTCAAACAATTATGGCCTTGCTCTACCATCGTCTTAGGAGCATCTGAGTACCTATGACGTGGGGACTACAAGTTAATGAGCTCCTCAAATGGATATCGGCAGACATGGGGCTGGCTCGGGTTCTGATCCCTTCCTCACGAAGATTGAAGGCGATTGACACATTTGTTGGCCTTGATGATCATGCCTTGTTATTCAGTGCACGAGTGAGTTCCCTGGCCACGCAAATTTGAGAAAGAGAATCATGGCCATTATTCCCCCAAGCAGAGACAGAACGTTGTTGTTCATTGCCCTTCTTAAAACCGGCCAGTGGGAAGACGCTTTGACTGTATGACTGCTACATAAATGGTCAGACAATCGTTCGAGTTTACCATGGGCCGTTGGAAGATGTGACTCGATGTCTGAGTAACGTGCGGGTTGATCATTCAAAATCAGTATGAGTCGAATAATTGTGTCCAAGTTCATGGAAGCTGTGTGATCTTATCATTTTAATTACTCGGGGCCGCGGGCTCCATGGCCTGAAGCATCCTTGCATGACGTCTCGTCTCTTCCAAAGATATAAGTGACCATACACAGCTGTTCCTGAATTCAGAAGATATACTTTGTTCTCGTTTTGAATGTCTATAGGGAGCCATCCCGACGCGCTATGAGGCTATCAGCAACAGAAAGACGCTGATTCAGACACCAAGCAGCCCCTATTAAATCATTATAAAGTACAAACGGGAAGACATGGAACGTGATCAGATAGAAACGTAAGATAAGATCCGACCCTTGTTGCGCCTTGTCGCGAGATCGGGTGGGTTCTAGGCCACTTCGTCAAAACAGCCGAGATGCCAAGTGTACGCCGCGGCAAGAACGGCAACGATGAATAGTCTAGACTTAACCACGCTATAGTGATGGATTAGTAGCCCATGCTCAGGAAACTCTCAGGTCACTTGCAGCCAAACGACAGACATGGATAAGCGCGCTGTTGCAGGGCAAGAATAAATCGCGATATCTCATGAGAGGGGCAGTCTCTTCTCCTAGCCTTGTTCTACTTCAAACAAACTCCAAGCCACATGATCCTTGACACCATGTTGCTTGAGATTTGCCATGCAGTCGCAATCCTTGCTGCTCCCCGTCCCTGCGGACGCAGCCGCAAGATTCCATGTGAAGTCGGAAACATAACACAATCCAGTCCCTGTGCGCTTGTCGAATTTGGACGGCAGACGAAGCACAGATCACAAATTGTGGTGCCTCCCGAATGTTCAAGGATGATTCGGCCCTCGCCCTCATTTGAAACACATCAAATAGACGCCAGTCTCCTTTTGCGTTAAGCAACACCCCTGAGATACTGCATTGGGAGTTTTCGACGCCAATATCGACTTCTTGGCCAGCTTCAGCCTGTCAACGGAAATTGCAGAGGGGTTTAATAACGTAGCATACAGCCTCCTCTGGCCTGAAGTCGTGGACCAGGTGGCTGGGCTGGCCGGTGGCAACCTCATGATTGAGGAACTAACATGCAGGTACTTTATAGAATCAACACCGACGATGGAAACGTATTGCTTCTAGTCCAGTCAGTCTTTCATTCACTCTTTGACTTTGATCTAGTCGTTTGTGTCTTCCCTTCCCATCCCTTTTTTTCGTTCTTTACACTACATTCGTTCCAGTACCTCAGCAAGACACAGGATGTCGGCTTCCATTCTTTTCACCGCCGCCCTGCTTGGCGTGGCTCAGGCCTACACCGTCATCAGCGCCCCCGGCCCCTTTATGCTCAAGAACATCGACTCCATAGTCTTCCCTGGCCAGTATGACAAGTCTCACCTGCACTGCTTTTTCGGCTCCGACGCCGTCACGGTCAACACGAAGACCAGCGCCGAGCTTCAGAAGGGCTGCACCAACCTCGAGAACCCCAACGACCTGTCCGTCTACTGGATCCCCACGCCTCTGTTCACCAAGGATGGCGGCTAGACGTACGAGCCTTTCCCTGTCGCCCGCTTCAGCGCCTACTACAACCTCGGCGAGGCGCCCGCGGAGGTGGCCATCCCGCAGAACCTGAAAATGGTCGCCGGCGACGCCCAGGCCAAGACCAAGGCCCAACTGCCCGCCGAGTCCAAGGCCGAGTGGTTCTGCGAGGGCGGCGGCGGCGGCGCCCTCGATGCCAACGGCTTCCCCAGCGCGACCTGCGGCACCCACCTCCAGCAGCTCCTCTACTTCCCGAGCTGTGTCAACGAGGCGACCTCGAGACGGCCTACAAGTCCCGCACTCATGGCACCCCGAACTGGTGCCCCAAGGGCATGAAGTCGATGCCGCAGCTCCGCTTCAGCATCCGCTACAACCTCCGCAAGGTCCTCCCCAACGGCTGGTCCGGCGCCGCCGCCCCCTTCAAGCTCTCCTGCGGCCCCGCCTCGTGCGTTCCGAGTAAGCCAGCTATGACCTCGCACTCGCGGCGGGCCCACGGCCCCCTGACTGTACATAGACCGGTTACAGGTCATCTTCTTCGTATCATACTTTGGGTGTGTTTATCTGTAATAAACCATCAGGTTAACGATAGTCTGCAGGGGTGAGGCGATCCCACCGTCGTTTCCAGAATAAACCTTTGCTCTTGAACATAGCTTGTATCGTGATAGGCTTGAAACCAGCGAGCCTGAGTTACGCAGACGCTGGTGAGACCGCATTACAAATACATGCCCCGAAACCTAACATTTCATAGTTTCGCCAGCGATTGGCCGCATGCCGATTGCTCCAAGACATTTTCCTTTTGTAGCACAAAAAACATGTAAGCCTATGACTTGGATGAGCTTGTGGACCAGTGGGCAAAACTGTCCGTTATCCGCGAAAAAGACAATGATATACGGCGTGTTCAATCTTCCCATTACAGACGACTATACGAAGACGTTTCGATTCATAAATGTACTGTAATCTATCGACGATCTGAGGAGGAAGCGACTCTAGGATGGGACATACCTCTGCCCTCTCTAATAAAAGTATAAGACTTGGTGGAAGCATGAGCTGTAAAAGAACGTGGGCATCTGGCAGTGGCCAATCTGAGCAACCCCAGTGCTCCATCTCCATCATGTCCTGCACGCCTACTGCCCTATCGCTAGTAGATACAACCAAAAACAAAACATTACCAATGCAGGATCTCTCATAACATAAGACTTCGTCGAAAGGAGCGTATATAAGGGGGTAAGACCAAGATGTGACCATGACTAATAGATAGGAGTGGGTGGTGTTCTTGTGCTAGCGCACCATCGTAGCCTCGAGCAAGCTTACTGACACAGGGCTTCGCGGATAAAGGTACCCATCATTTTGGCCTAGATTGTATTAGTCGCTGTGAATTGAGGCAGGCATGCGAGCGATTACTTACGTAGTCACCATGCATCATGGAAAAGTGGTTTCCTGGCATGGACCTGGTGCGGAATTTGGCAATGTCGAGATATTCGTCCCAGCGATTGGGACCAAAGTCGGTCCGGTTATCCAAGAGGAAAAGAGCGTGACCCGTGGGATACGGATCAGGACGAGGGTCGGTTGGGAGGTGGCACACGCCGTCCTCGCACCAAATGGCCATGACGTTAGGGCATTTGTCGGCGGGGATGGGCTCCGCCGTGTAATTGCTGAGGGCATTGACAGAAGCCGCGAAATGAGGGAGCAGCCAGTCGGGAATCTTTTTGCTCGACGCATCTTCGCGATCCCCAAGGAGCCCGATGGAAGCAAACCAGGCGTGCAGAGATCGAGGGAGCGGCTCGATAATGACGGGGCAAGGGGAGTCGATAAGGATCAAGTTATCGACGCGCTCGCCAACCTTTGTGAGCTGATTGACAATCTCGAAACAGATGACACCACCAGCCGACCAACCCCCAATATGGTAGGGCCCCTGCGGCTGGCGACGTTTCATCTCCTCAATAAACTTGACAGCCATCCCATACACGCCGCAATTGAATTCCTCGGGGGTTTTCATGAAGGGCGAGAAGAGTCCCCAAACGGCCCAGTCAGGAGAGATTTGGCTAATCTCGGTGTAAGAGGTCGCGCAACCGCCACCATCGGGAATCAGGAAGAGCTTTTTGGTAGCAGTCCGCGTACTACCCTGCAAAAGAGTCGATGAAGCCTTGCGGTGGGGGTAGTGATCAACGATCTCCTTAGGTGGTGGGGGCTTGGTGATGCTCGCCGTGGTGTTGCCGGGATGGGTGTTGATGACCCGTGTAGGGGCAACCGGCGGCGAGGCTGGGCGAGCAATGCTGGGCACTTTAGGTGCTACTGGTGCTACCTTCGGCTTTGGTCCACATCCAAGGGCCTTCTCAACTTGGGACAGGGAGGGGTTAAGGACGAAAAGGTCGCCAGGAATATCCAAACCTGACTGCTCTCGCAGTGTGCCCAAAATGGAGAGGCTCATCAGCGAATCCATACCAAGTGCGGCCAAGTCCGGAGCGGCGATAATTTCGTCAATATCAACGCCCATTTCTGCAGCAATGGTAGACCGTACAATGGCTTGTAGGCTGTCGTGACTTTCACCATCCTTCAGCGACGTCTCGTCACTTTCGTTTGGGGGTGTTGTGACAACAGAATCAGAAGATGTCAGGTCTGATTCTGAGTCGGAGACGCATGAGACACCAGAGTCTTGGGCCCCATAGCTCCCAGAGCGGCTGTGAGTCTTTTGGGCAAGACCGGCATCATCAGGAACTTTGAGCTGGGCCAGGAACTTCTTGAAAGCGCCGACCGTTGCGTGGTCAACGAAAGCATGAGAATCGATATCCAGATCAAGCTCCTCTCGCATACGTCCAGCCACGGTGAGTGCCATGAGTGAGTCGCACCCAAGGTCTGTGAAGGCAATGTTATCAGCAAGCTCGTCATGAGACACGCCGACTTCCTTAGCAATAATATCCATGACCTCGGCCACAACTGACGTGGGCTTGGCAAGCTTTGCATTGACGGTGTGAATATTCGAGGAAGTCAGCGGCTTCGAGGTTTTCGTCTTGGGAGCAGACGCCTTGGGTGGTGACACGACTGTGGGCTTGGAGACACCCTTGGGCGCAGCACCGGTGATCATGCCGGCTGCCGCGCGCCCGCGGGGCGGCAGAACCATGTTCATGACCTTGCGAGGTATCGACTGGAACCTAACGTCACCACAGACTCCTACGATGCGGTCGCCATCGAAAACATAAGCATCGCCAGACATGACCTTGGTGTCCTTGACCGGCTGCATGCGGATGTAGGAGCGGTACGTCTTGGAGGCATCGAGCTTTTCGATGAACTTGAGGGAGCCCCAACCATGGGATATGAAGATTTGCTCGCGCGAGTCCACCGCATCTGTACCATTGATGATGAAGCCGGATATGTGGCAGCAGCTATCAATCCAGTACGGACTGAAGAAAAAGTTTCCATCTTTCTCGCTCGTCTGGAAGGAGACCTTGGCGGTGGCTTCGCATGTTCGGCTGTCGAGAATAACTTCTTCCATCCCCTGGAAACGAGGGTTGTAGTCCACAAGGGCAGTGAAAAGCTTGTAGGCCAGGCCTCTGCCGATCTTTGAAGCCTTCCCAACTTTCTCGGCCTCAACGAGGGCATCAATGCGACCGCTGATGAGATATTTGACACGCTCGAACTCGTCAGCCCACTGTTCGGTGTTGCCAAAGTTGACCCTGCATTTCGCGTGCTCAGTCCTCTTTGGGCCTTCGCCAGTGTGGAAAACAAGATCAGCGTGACCAAGAACAATATTGGCAGTTGCTTTACAGCGCAGCATGTGAGATTCGACCTTATCATCGAAGATCAATGTCTTGGGAACTTCCACATCGGAAACATCGAGTCCAGTCTTTTCAGCTTCGGGTCGTACCAGCTTGTAAGCGTAGTCACAGATGGTCATTGCCATATCCGCGTACAGCGTCGAAGGGCAGAGAGGGGTCCCGTTGCACAAGTGTCCCTCAAGAATGTTTCTTGTATCCTCGCGGGAAAGGTTGGTCTCGGTCTCAATGATGACAATGTCCCCGTTGATTTCCTCCTTGGTGACGGCATGCACTGAAGTTGTCGAGAGCTTGGGCTTTGGCGCTTCCAGAAGAGCAGGCGCCTTGGCCGGAGCCGAGCCCCGGTTCTTGGTGAGACACCAATCACCACTATACTGCAGCCAGTAGTTCTTCTCGTCGAAGGAATAGCTGGGCAGATTGAGTAGACGAGTAGACTCGCTGAAATCCCGATGGTACTCATTCCAGTCAAGGTTCAGGCCTGCGGTGTGCAAAGTGCACAACCCGTTGCTCAAGGTCTTGTAGGTTGACTCATTGCGTCGAAGCGTGGGTACCGCAATGGTGGCCACTCCAAAAGCAGCCTTGACCATGTTGGCGCACACAGGATGAGGGCCGATTTCCAGCCAGACGGTCTTCTCGTTGATTGCTCCTGATTGTTGTGCCGAGATGATGCCCCCGAGGAAGTCCACAGGCTGACGGGCATGTTTGCGAAGATATGAAGGGTCAATAAGCTCATGCTCGACGAGTTTACCGAGAAGAGGTGAGATAATAGGCACCTGAGCAGGCATGAAGCGAGTGAAACGGGCAAGATGCTCAAATTCGTCAAGAATTGGCTCGACTTGGGCCGAGTGGAAAGCATAGGGGACCTTCAGCTCGGTGCACTTGAATCCAGACGCGCCCAATTGCGTGGCAATCTTCATCATGTGGTCAGCTTCACCACTGAGAACGGTCTCACGAGGCCCGTTGATGCAGGCGATGTTGACTGAGGCGAATTCGGAACCGAGAGCCTCGTTGACAGTCCCAACCGGGCCTTGCACAGCAAGCATGGCATGGGTACCAGCAGTGCACCTGTCAACGAGAAGCTGAGCGCGACTGCCGACAAGATATATGGTGTCGCTTGCGGACAGTACGCCGGCGACGTTCAGAGCAGCATATTCTCCGAGAGAGTGCCCCAGAACCACAGCAGGCCTGATACCCCATGCAGCCCACAGCCTTGCCAGAGCCATCTCGAAGCAGCAAAGGCCAAGCTGCACAACCACGGGTGATAGCTTGGAGACATCAGGCTCGCTGCCATCAATCAATGGCACAAAAGACGGGAAGCCATGGACTTCGGCGATATGATTGAACTCATTGATGCTGTCTCTGAAGACAGAGTAGTGGGCGTAGAGGTCCTTGCCAAGACCAGCATAATGAGAGCCTTGACCTGTGAACAGGAAGGCCACCTTTGGCTGCTCAGTCGAGATGGGCACAAAGTTTTGAGTGAGCCTCTCTTTGATGGCCGACATGGCTTCAGACAAGGTGGAGGCGGCGACGTTCAGGCGCCAGTAGTGTTGCATGCGACGGGCCGTTGTGGTGTAAGCAACATCAGCAAGCGGGGTTTCGGGATTCTTCTCCATCCACGTAACCAATTGCTCAGCATTCTTAATCATGGCCGTCTTGGATTTGGCCGTGATAGTAATGACTTGAACACTGCGAGGGTCCGCCTGTGTGGGCGTCTGGCTAGGACCATCCTCAAGAAGGAGACCAGTATTACCGCCGGCGGCGCTGAAGTTGTTTATGAAGATTCTCCTGGGTTTCCCA